TGTGTGTGTGTGTGTGTGTGTTCCTGCATTACAACCGTTAGGTAACTGGTTAAAGAGTCAGACCTAGATAGAAACCTGATCCTGCCACTTACTACCTGCCTGACCTTGTGAAAAATATGAATAGCTGATCGCCCTTGTTCTCATTTCTCAACTCTGCAATAGAGGTAATATAAAAAATATTGTGCAGGGATGGCTGAAAGTCAATGAAATAAAGCAAAGGAAGTTTCTGGTGGAGAGTTTATAACATGTCATTTTCTCCAAACAAATGCCAATGCATTCATATTTTTAAATTATAACTGCTTTATAAGGAGAGTGGATTTGATTACAAAATATAAGACCCTTTTGTTTTGTTGAGGTTTTAATGAGAATATATAAAGGAATGAAGGAATAAATGAATGAAGTTTTACAGAGAAGGGAGAGAGAGGTGACTTGATCTGCTAATGAGAGTGAGAATTAACATTTTCCAGGGTTATGTGGGTGGGCTTAAGTGAAGCCCACCGATGAAGAAGGGGAAAGGTAGAGGAGATGGTGAGATTGTGTAAAACGGGCTCTGCCTGGTGCAGCGGACCAAGGGAAGGACATTCCTAGTGGGTGGAGCCTGGAACATGTTTAAGATCTGGAGTATTAAACATTTTATAGAATCTTTTCTTTGTGCTTTTAAGCCTGTCTCAAATGCTGGAAGGTCCCAATTCAGTTATCTGCATGAACACAGCCCTCGATTTAAAAAAATATTCGCATTTTTACACTTTCAGGAGATTAAGGGAAGGGGCTAGAGCTTACCTCTGAGTTAAGATAGTAATTTAGATGATAATAATCCCATATATGGTATTGTAAGGTTATTAAACAACTAAACAAATGTATCAGATGAAAGCAAATTAGAGTTGGAGGTGATAGGCAAAGAAAGCCTACTTCCTTCCAGGCTTGGAGACCTCTGGAACTCCCTGGACCCTGAGTGCATGTTGACTTGATAATACCTGGGTCACTTTGTGCAGTAGGAACACTGGTAGCATGTGGCTGAGATGTGCGTATTTGTATATATTTCTACTTAAAGATATTACAGAGACTATGAAAGGAACCACATATGCAAATGTGTGTGCATATATGAATATATGTGTATGTTACCATGTCTGTCAGTATCTTGTATTGTCTTGTGTTCTGCCTCTCTGAAATTGTTCTGCTTCTCATCTCTCTTGTATTTCCTTTTCTCTAGTCTTCACTGAGTTCCTGAAAAGCTCTCTATCTTTCAAGCCTCTCGAACATTTCCCCAGATCATTAAGGAAATATCATCTTCAGGCCCCCACTGGGTCCATGTGAGCTCCAATCTCTATTAACTCGTGTTTGAGGCATATGCAATATGATCCTTTGCTACATCTGCAGTATAGGCTTTGCTGTCTCCCTGTAGAAATGCTTAGGGTGCAATGACCCTTTGGGTGAAATGACCTGTTTTCTCTCTTTTGTTTTGTTTTTAACTTTTGTTTTAGGTTCAGGGGTACACAAGCAGGTTTATTATGTAGGTAAACTTGTGTCATAAGGGTTTGTTGCTAAGATTATTTCATCACCTAGGCATTAAGCCTCGTACTCAATAGTTGTTTTTTTAATTTTTTTTTTTTTTTTTTGCTCCCTTCCCTCTTCCCACCACTTGCTTTCAGGAATGCCCCAGTGTCTGTTGTTCCCCTCTTTGTGTTCATGTGTTCTCATAATTTAGCTCTCACTTATAAGGGAGAATATTCAGTATTTGGTTTTATGTTCCTGCATTAATTTTTTGAAGATAATAGCCTCCAGCTCCATCCATGTCCCTGCAAAGGACATAATTTTATTCTTTTTATGGCTGCATACTATTCCACGGTATATGTGTACCACATTTTCTTTATCCAGCCTACCACTGATGGGCATTTAGGCTGATTCCATGCCTTTGCTATTGTGGATAGTGCTGGAGTGAACATACACATTCATGTGTCTTTATGATAGAACACTTTATATTCATTTTGGTATCCCTCCTTCTCCAACATCCGGGCTTTATTCCATGACCTACGCATTTCTAAAACAGTGCCATTCAACTGTAACTTCTTTATGAATCTTAATTTTCAAATATGACTACAATAAACTATCCTTGATTCTGCAGCTTGGTTCTTATATTTATGTACCCCTCAACAGTTTCTAAAACAGGGGTGGACTCCACGGGTAAGCAATTTAAAAATGAATTGATTACTATTCACGTCATCCTAAATTTGTGCATGACTTAAGCCATCATCATTGTAATTCTCACTCTGAGATATTACATTACATTATAATAGCCTTATCACCCTGCAGAAACCAGCCACTGAATTACCTGGCTATAGCTTATGATGTTCCAAAGCATGAATTTAATGAGAGAGTAATCAAGATATTGATTACTCAGCTTACATTGGCATTTCTGATCTAGAAGCCCAGCCCATTCATTCCAAGGTTCATGAGGATTAGAAGCTATTCTATCTGTGACTCTGATACCACAAAGGGTAGCACCCAATCTGTCAATTAATCTGACATGCATTGGGTTAATAAGGTAACAATATGATGTAACATCATAAGGATTGTTGCCTTATGTTTGGTGCTAAATTTCAACAGCATTTGAAATTTATTGAATTTGTCACCATTTTAATACTAGCGATATGCACTAGCAAAGGAGTGATTTTCTGAGAGTATATTTCTATGTTGTCAGGCTCTCATATCACAAAAGATAGGTTGAAAGGATGCTGAGACCTTGTAAAAATTAACTTAGACTTAGTGGATTTTACTCTGTGTCCCAGAGCCAGCACCACACATAAGTGGTTTTTAATTTGTTTTCTTCCTCTGCAACCCCTGCATAGAGTGGTAACAATAACCTGATACTCCAAAGTTATTAGAAGAATACACAGCATATCTAATTATTTCTTTATAAGTAATTGGATCAAACATTTAAGCATAAAAAATTGATAAATCTCATCACATAGTGAAAGAAAACTATATGTCAGAAAGCATAATTTTAAAAGGTGGAAAATATAAATAACCAGCTGAGAAAAAGTAAAACACATAAGTCAGGAATATTATTAAAATCCATGATAAATAGGAAATCCTTACAAATTTGTAGAAAATAAATAAGCCTGTCTATAAATGAATGGGCAAAATGCATGAGAAAAACAGAGAGCTTGGAAAGGAATACAAATGATCAAAATATTTTGAAATTTATCATTTCATATTTGCATATACAAGTAACCAAAGACTTGTATATAAAACAAGGATGGTCTCTCGAGGATGAGGTCTGAGTCTGCCACTGAATTACCTGGCTGTGGCTCATGTTGTTCCAAACAATGTATTTAATGCAAAAGTAGTTAAGATATTGGTTACTCAACTTACATTAGTAGCTTTTATCTAGAAGCACAGCCCATTCATTTCAAGGACAATAAGGATTAGAAGCTATTCCTTTGTATCAACTAGAAGAAACTTAAAATCAATAACCAAAGAGTATTGCTGAAGGTGATAGGACATGGGTCTTCTAAAATTGGCACAATAATGAAAATTCGGATGAAATTTGCTGACTCATTACTCAACAAATAATCATTTTGTGTATACAAATTAAAATTTAAAATGAGCATACTCTTTATCCAACAGTTGTACTTCCAGGAACTTAAGGAGAAAAACTTGGAGAAAGAAGATATATAGACAAGAATGATTACTATAGAAAATTAAAATAACATTAAGAGTTAGAAAAGTTGCAAGATGTAAGAATAAATCTATATTAACTAGCAACAAAAAATTCAGAAATATAATTTAAAAAGTTGCTATTTAAAATAGAAAAAATACATAAAATCTAAAATATAATTTTAATGTAAAATATATTTGATAAAATGAGAAGACTATTAAACAGCATTACAGAATAACATAATAGAGAGATACACTATATTTTTGGGTGAGTAGAAAAAAGTTTTAATAACATATGACAATTGTCCATAAGTTAATGCATATTCTTAATGACATTTTCATCAAAATTCTAATGTTTTGTTTTGCTTCATCTTCATTGTGTGGGGCATGACAAACTGGCTCTAGTTCTTACATAAAAGAGCAGGGATTTAGTAATCACCAAGCCAATCTTAAAACTTGATGGAAACGGTGTGATTTAGATATTGCAATTGATTATACACCTATGGTAATTAAGGCAGCCGGATGTTCTCAGAGGTGTTGACAAATTGACAATGACAAAAATTGTTCCTCCAATTATAAATCTACAGAAATGTGAAAAATTGATTCTGACCCAGCGGTATTTCAGATGAGTGGGAAAAATGGAATATTGGATTACAATACTAAGACAATTGGTTATCCATTCAGAAAAATGTTTAAAATATATTAAAATGTACAAAAATTTCTTTCTTGATTGAATAAAAGCCTTATTTTTAAAAAGAGAAAAAATTTCAACTTTTTAAACATAGGGAAAAGATTTCTGAACTTACAAATGGTTGAGATTTATTAAAATCATGAAAAGTACAAACAACATAGTTACTGTTGCAGAAATTCAACTATGTTAAAAATAAAACACTAGTTTATCAAATGACACCATTGAAATGCAAACAAGAACATACTTTCTTAGAATACATATTCACAACACATTTAATAGCAGTACATTAGAACCAGATCGCATGGGCTCATTAACACTGGAGAGGCAAGAAGGGCAGTATTAGGGCCAAAACTTCAAGGCTCCAAAAAGAAGTGAGAGCCTTAAAGGCAGGTGCCCTCCAGGGAGATTAAAACAGGAGATGATGGTTGGGATTTTCCAACCCCGCCTTTATTTCAAAATGGCCATATTCCATGATGGTAACAGCTTCCCTGAACACCTATGAAGGCAGACATGTGCAGAGCTACCAGTCATCACCTGTCACCAGACCTCTGTGGGTGTCAGGAGGCAGGTCCACTCATGCCCAGGCCCTGTCTCACAGCGGCAGGCAGAGCCCAAGGACAGGATAAAAGGACTCAGGGCCAGAGCACCCCATCCACTCACCTCTTGAGGTGCCAAAGGACCCTGTGCTGCTTGTGACCTTGTAAGTGTTCCCTGGGTACTGGAGAAGGGGCTTCCACAAAGGGGTGCCCTGATCAGGGCAGGAGGGGAGGCCAGGCATGGCCTCCAGGGCTGAGGTGGTGCTGGCATCCATATGGGTGAAAGAGGGAGTCTCAAAAAAACTGAGGAAGGGCAATGGGGACAGACAGTGGACATGAAAAGAGGAAGTCCTGTGACGGTGACTTGGTGCTCTGGAGAAATGAGATGGATCTAGAGTTCTTGGGTCTCTCGTCTGAAGGCACTGCAACATTGTCATGTTCACCTGTAGCTGTTTTTAGAAAGGGATTTTTATCTTGGAAAATATAACTGTCCTTTCTTGAAAAGTTGAGATGGAGACAGTGGTTCCCAGGCAGTGTAGAGGGTATCACAGCTGACTTGCTTCATCTCACATTTAATGGTACTTGGTGAGACAAACAAAGTAGACAAAAAATATATGTAAGTGCTGAGCATTCGGTACAGGTGTTTGTCTGCTGAAAATGTCAGAGAACCTGGATAAGAGTCTCAACTTAATTAAATGATGTTTCCCCAGTTCTCCAACATTCTTTACTGTTCTGAACTTCGATGTCCTTACAAGATAATTTAGAACATTCTTCCAAAAGAGAATAATGGTTTTCCCTTGAAAATCAATTTTATTTCCAAACTCCTTTCTAGACTCTTTTCATGATTCAGGTGTATAGTTGATGCAGAATGTCTCCTCTACATACTCCGTGCTTGATTTTGAGAATGCTTTCTTAATATATGTTAGCCTCACTTTTCTAATTATAAAACAGTTGAAAATGCTTTATGATTTTATAAGTATATTAAGAGCATCAGGTTCAAAACAGAGGCTATAAGTGTATTTAGTCGATTATTAGAAATAATGAAACTTCCAGAGATGAATTAGCTACAGCTACACTTAAGCAGTTCATCGAAATGAAGGGATTAGAAGTTATGCGGAAAGGGAATAACTTTCTAAGAATAGGCAGGAATGGTCTCTTCCTGGATCTAACTTGCTGTCTGACTCTCCCCTAGCTCCTGAGCACCCGCCCCCGAGATGTCCTGCCAGCAGAGCCAGCAACAGTGCCAGCCCCCTCCCAAGTGCACTCCTAAGTGCCCCGCCCCCAAATGCCCCCCAAAGTGCCCCCCTAAGTGCCCTCCAGTGTCTTCCTGCTGCAGCGTCAGCTCTGGGGGCTGCTGTGGCTCCAGCTCTGGGGGCTGCTGCAGTTCCGGGGGAGGTGGCTGCTGCCTGAGCCACCACAGGCGCCACAGGTCCCACCGCCACAGACCCCAGAGCTCTGACTGCTGCAGCCAGCCCTCAGGGGGCTCCAGCTGCTGCGGAGGGGGCAGCGGCCAGCATTCTGGAGGCTGCTGCTGAAGCGGACCCTGTGCCTAAAAGAACACAAATGGCCAAATATTTCCCTTTCCTCTTCCTTCTTCTGAGCCTGCCCATGTTGCTGATAGTCTTGGTGAGGGTTGAGCTCAAGCATAGAGGATTCTTCTGTCTTGGAGTTCAGGGGCTCAAAACTTCTCCCACAAAGCCATGTACTGACCTTGTTTTGCATTTGTGTGGTTGCTCTGGGAAGCCCGAAGCACAGACCTATAGCCCTTTGCAGCTGGTCTTCTTGCATAGCTCAGCCTGATGTCAAACAATAAAACCAGAAATATGCATTCCTTTTTGCCTTGACTGATTGTTATTTCTTCATTGGTTTTCACACTCTGTCCTCATCTCCAGGCTCTCCAAATATGTCACTATCTACAGACCTTATTCAAATTTAGCCATTCTTCATACTAATGTCCTTTATAGCAAAAGACAATTTTGTTGATTCAAAAGCCAATCCAGGATTCTTCATTGCCTTCACAATAATTGCCATGATTCCTCAGTCTCCTCCAACCCGAACAGTTCTTCACTCTTTGTCTTTCATGACATTGACCTTTTTAAAGAACCATCAGTTTTGTAGAATGCCCCTCAATTTGGATTTGTCTGATGTTTGTTCTTGAGCAAGTTCAGATTACGCACTTTTGCAAAGATCCACAAAAGTGATGTTACCTTTAGAGCATGATACTGAGCCTCACATGGTGTCTAATTGTCCCATTCCTGATGACAGTGGAAACACTATACCCCTGAATTTGGTTGAGCCTTTTTTGCCGGTAGAAGCAACCTTTCCACCCTCGCCTGAGGAGTTTGACCCTGATTTTCCTAAGGAGACTGTAATGGGCTCTTGTGAGGCAATTGCCTTGCAAGACATTGATGACTTTTCTCAGGACCCCTCCCTTCCACCTCTTTTTGCTTCTAAACTAAGGTTCCAGCAGGCCCCCAATCAAGGTACAAGTGACCCATGACAAGGTGCACTACACTCCCAAAGAACTACACGGTTTTTCCAGGGTGTACAGACAGACATTCAGGGAATACGTGTGGGAATGGATATTAAGAGCATGGTACAATTGTAGGAGGAATATAAGATTGGATCAGGCTGAATTGATTGTAGAGATTCTAGGCAATGTTACAGTTTAGGGAGTAAGAAAAGACCTTAACAGTTACTTTGGTTGGCTGCCCAAAACGTGGACCAAAAGGTGGCCCAGTGTGTGTGACCTAAAAACGACAGACTTGTCTTGATTTGCTGCAGAGGAAGAGATTCAGAGCATTAGGCAGATTGGAATATTAGAATTAATTTGTCATTAAATGATGAGTCACCCACCTTGGAAGGTCCAGATGATTCACCTTTCATCACAATTGTGAAAAATACACTTGTGAAGAAAGGCTCAGCATCCTTGAAGAGCTCAAAAGCTTAGATTGGCCTGGCACAGTGGTTCACACCTGTAATCCCAGCAGCACTTTGGGAGGCCGAGGTGGGCTGATCACGAGGTCAGGAGATCGAGACCATCCTGACTAACACAGTGAAACCCCATGTCTACTAAAAATACACAAAATTAGCCAGGCATGGTGGCATGAGCCTGTAATCCCAGCTACTCAGGAGCCAGAGGCAGGAGAATCACTTGAACCTGGGAGGCAGAGGTTGAAGTGAGCCGAGATTGCACCACTGTGCTCCAGTCTAGGGCAACAGAGCAAGACTCTGTCTCAAAAAAAAAAAAAAAAAAAAAAAAAAAAAAAAAAAAAAAAGCTTAGATGGCCCTTCTCTCTGTAGATCAACAATTTCAGTGGAATCTGCCATTACTGAATTGGAAAACCTAAAAGAGATGGGGAAAATTGGATCCCAGGGTGTCAGGGGCCAAGGAATGGTACCTAATCACCAAAGGCAAAGCGGGTGTGGCTACCATAAGGACACCAGAGTCCAAGCAGCAATCAGAATATTCTGACTCACAGGCATGTAGAATGCTGGCTCTTTCTTTCTCCCAAAGGGACCTACAGCTTTTTAACAGGGTGGCTGTGCTTTGGAAAAAAGGAAATAATCAGACTGTTTTGGATAACTGGACACTGGTTCTAAATTGACACTAATTCCAAGAAACTTAAAATGCAACATTACTCCACCAGTCAGAGTAGGGGCTTATGGAAGTTAAGTGATCCGTGGAATTTTAGCTCAGTTCCACCTCACAGTGTGTCTCTGCACCCATTCTGTGGTTATTTACTTTGTTCCAGAAGCGTAAGTTTAACAGGCATACTCAGCAACTGGCAGAGAATCCTCTCAACAGTGCGCTGACCTGTGGATTGATGGCTATTCTGGTAGAAAAGACCAAAGGGAAGCCTTTAGAATTGCTTCCACCTAGGAAAATAACGAATCAAAAGCAACATCATATTACTGGAGGGATTACAGCTTTGGTGCCATTATCAAAGACCTGAAATATACATAGATGATTATTTTCACCACATCCCTGCTCAACTCACCTATTTAACTTGTTCAGAAAATAGTTGAGTCTTGGAGAATGAAAGTGAGTGTCTATGGATTATGTTCTCCCAGAATCCATATGTTCAAGTCCTAACTTTCAACGTGACAATATTTGGAGATAGGGCCTTTAAGAAGGTGATAAAGTCAAGAGTGTCAGACCCTCATCTGACAGGGCTTGTGCTCTTATAAGAAGAGAAGCAGATGCCAGAGATTTCTTTGTTAGCCATGTGAAGACACAGTGAGAAGGTGGCTCCCTGTAAGCCAGAAAAGGAGCTCTCATCAGAAACCAAATCCACTGGCACCTTGACCTTGGGCTTCCTAGCCTCCAAAACTATGAGAAATAAATTTCTATTATTTAAGCCACCTAATTTATAGTATTTTGTTATGATCACTTGAGCAGACGAATACACTGAATTACTATAAGCCTAGCCAAGTGGTGACTCCGTTTACAGGTGTTGTACTAGATACGGTTTATTTGCTTGAGCTAATTAGCACATCCCTTATTATGCAGCTATTGATCTAGATTTTGTTTTCCTCATACCTTTTGGTAATGACTACCAGAATCAGTTTGTTTTCAGCTGGCAAGGGCAGCAATACAACTTCACTGTCTTACCTGCCGCCACGGCCGCTGCGTTCATGAGCTCACTGGGAAATGACAGGAGAGGCTGGGCAAAGAGTCTGAGTGGTATCCACAGAATAGGTTATCCTGCCCACGTATCTATTCAAGTCTCTGCTAAGGTTATTGTTTAGTAAACATCCATATGGAACACAAATATCTTAACGTTTTTTGCCCATTTAAAGAGACCTCTGTACATACCTCTTCCCTTATTCTCCCTGAGTGTCTACTCACCCTGTCCTCTGTGGGTGGTGGCCTTGGAACTTCAGGGGCCAGCAGGGCTTGAATTGGGGTCAGTGAGGGCGGGAGCGGGAAAGGACATCCAAGTCTGTCTGTCCTGTGTCAACTGGCCCGAGGCAGCATTGCTTGTGACCAAGTCTGAAATGCCTTTTGTAAACACAGTCCTTTGCCTCTGGTCCCCTTCAAGGCCCTGACTGGTCTCTTCGTGCTCCTCTTCCTCTGTGAGGGCCATCTGCTCCTCCTGATCTAGCCCCACTCGACATCCTTCCTCCCTCACACATGTATGCACGTACACACACACGTAAATTACACTTCCACACAGGTACGGGTGCACACGCACAGTTGCACACACATGCATACATGCATATGCACATATGGAAGAAAAAAGAAAAGAAAAATCGATGACTGGATTAACAAAACAGGAAGAAAAAAACGAGTGTATTTTGAAAATACACTTTTCCTACTAACTGCTTCTGCAATCAGTTTAGTTCTAGGCACATTTTTATGTAAAAATCGCACTTGAACTTACCTTCCATTAAATCTTGTCTCTTTCTTTCTCTTCCATCTCCACTAAATTCTCTGCACTTTTTTCCAGGACACATTCCCTATACCACATGTTTGAATTGTCACTCTATTTCTGCAAAAACGGTGGCTTTCTACAGAAAAATGAATGTGCTTCTTACTACATTGGAAATTCAACAGAAATTATTTCCAACTTCTTTTCTAAGGTTTATCGTTCATGCTTTCCATGGTGCCCCACGTTCTTGTTGCACTGAGCAACTCACCTTTGCACAGATATAACTTACACTTGCATATCTTCGTGCCCTTTTTTTTTTTTTTTCTGGAAAGCTGTAAGTAGAATTTACTATCCATAGCTCTGTATCCAGAATACTGGAAGTCTTCAATAAAGAGTGGCTCACACCTGTAATCCCAGCACTTTGGGAGGCTGAGGTGGGTGAATCATGAGGTCAGGAGTTCAAGACCAGCCCGGCCAACATGATGAAACCCCTTATCTACTAAAAATATTTTTAAAATTAGCTAGGCATGGTGGCAGGTGCCTGTAATCTCTCTTACTTGGGAGGCTGAGGCAGGAGAATCACTTGAACCTGGGAGGCAGAGGTTGCAGTGAGCTGAAATTGCGCCACTGCACTCCAGCCCAGGGAGCAATGCGAGACTCTGTCTCAAAAAAGAAAAAGAAAAAGAAAAGAAAGAATAGTTTCTAAGTGTTGCTATTACTACTACTGCTACTGTTAGTACCACTACTAACTACGTACTGTAATCACTACTTACTATTGCTATTCATAGGATTACTTGCTATTTCCTCTATCTGAAGTTCCTCCAAATCTCTCTCCACCATCTGGACATTTTGTAATTCTGTTGTTCTCTTAAGGCTCACCTCAAATGTCATCCTTCTGTGAAATCTTATCTGACTGCGTGTTTTGTTAAACTGGTGTATGTTAAATAATCTATAACCCTCACATTGAGCAAGCTTAGCTTGGAGGATGTAATAAAGTTATAGCTTTTTAAAATTAAAAAAAATTTTTAAAGTAAAACAGTCCTTAAAATTTTACTCAGTGAGATGGTTTTCTGATTCCTAAATGAAAAGTTAAAAGGCTAACTGGTTTTATAGCTCTTTCAAAGTAATGGGAAGCGATTTGTTACTTGAAATCACAAACCTAGGTCCAGTGAAGTGGCTCATACCTATAATCTCAGCAATCTGGGAGGTCCCGAAGGGACAATCACTTGAACCTAGGAGTTTGAGACCAGGCAGGACAACACAGTGAGACCCCATCTCTAAAAAAAAAAAATTACAAACTTGGTCTCAGTTCAGTAATGAACTAGCCAGTTGAAAAAACAATATCAATGCCAAATTTGATTGATTGATTGATTTTTTTTTTCAGACAGAGTCTCACTCTGTTGTGCAGGCTGAAGTGTAGTGGTACAATCATGGCTCACTGCAGCCTCAACGTCCTAGGCTCAAACGATCCTCCCCCTTCAGCCTACTGAGTAACTGGGACTACAGGCATACACCACCATGCCAGGATGATTTTTGTATTTTTTTTTGTAGAGACAGAATGTTGCTGTGTTGTCCAGGGTGGTCTTGAACTCCTGGCCTAGGGTGGTCTGCCTGTCTCAGCCTGCCAGAGTGCTGGGATTACAGATATGAGCCATTGTGCTCCACCCCAAATTTGATTGAATGGCGTGTTTATCCATGTCTCTGATCCAGTGGGCTGCCCCAGCATAGCAGAGAAAGGGAGCCTGGTTCTTCTACTCATTCTCCACCTCATGTCGGTCCTTCTCCAGCTTTCTAAATGTATTTTCTGAATGAAGAGCAAAGAAGAGGCTTAGACTGACATGTAGGTGCAATTGCTTCTGATACTAGAGCAACCAGGAAGCAGAATCCAATTTCTGACTCCTCCTCTCTATCTGTGATGTGAGAGATATCTCTGATCTCCCTCTCGTGGTTTTTATTAGAATTACATGGAATCCACAAGTTGGCTTGTTTCTACAAGCCTTAAGACAAGGCTTCTTTCTTGACCTTTTCATTGACCTTTTTAAGACAAGGCTTCTTTCAACCCATGGATATGACATAGCTTTCTATTCATTATAGTCTACTTTAATGCCTTTCAATAAAATGTTGTTTTTTACATTTGTTTGTCTTTTGAGATATTGATTCTTGTCTCATACTTTTGTTGCTGATATCTATGGTTTTATTTTTAAATAACAATTTCTGATCATTGGTGTGTATGTGTTCTGTATTATAACAGCTTCAGTCAGAAAACATCTTTTTATGCCTAAATGTAGAACCACAAAATAATTTTAATTATTGCTATATGTGCCTTTGTATGCCTGTTTCACAATTTAACGCCCTAAGTATTAAAGATAAGTACTAAGTAGTGAGCGTTTCCAATTTACTTTATTACAATATCATAGTTAACACCGTTGAATATTTAGATTTTCATATTTTTATGATAAGTTCCATCAAATAAAAGCCTGAAAATTGGAATCACTTGGTCAAAGTACATGTACAGTCTACACTAATTATTTTAACTCACGAGTGAATATTATCTGAATGAATCAATCGCCAGTTTGCCTTTCAGAAAGGTATTCCAACCAGAGTATTTTTTCCCTCCCATATCCACCTTTGGTTTATAAAAATTTTAAATCTTTGCCTATTTAATATGAATGCATATATTTGATAGAACAATAAAATATGTCTTTTTATACATGTATTTTTTATCTATAAATTTAACATTTTGTATTGCCTGCTTATCTCTTTTGTCCATTATTTTCATGGATTTTTTTTTCTTACTAATTTGTAAAGGATATTTGCATGTCGACCATGTAGTCTTATTCTTGGGATATGTGATGTAATTTCCCTCAGTTGGTCATTTCTCTTTCAGGAGTGTTTATATGTTGCGCTTTTCCGCGTGACGTTTTTATTCAGAAGTAAATAAACATCACATTTTCCTATGGTATCATGGTTTTGGGAGCCACCAGACATAAGAAATAACGAACTATCCTTTTCTGTTTTAAGAGTGTTATTTAATAACGTATGTTACCAAAAAAAAGGATCTAATGGGTGAAAAAAATAATCCATTAACATACATGGTGCTGATTCCAAAGCATAAAGTAGAATACCACTCAGTATGAAGTTTGGGTGATTCTTTAAAAATTAAACATTTCCAAAAATGTGTCAATCAATAACCAGGTTATAGATGGACATAGAAATTATAAAAATGTTATTACAGTTATTCCTATGTGGGACATAATGCTTTACTTTTGATTTGCCTCATAGCTACATTCTAGATCCCAGCCACATCTACTTCAGTCTTGATAACAGAAGACCTAAAAAGCTAGTCCCTTGCTTAATAAAAATTTTATAAAATTTAAGTCATTGACATCATACAATTAAGGCAAGCAGATCAAGCTTTATGAAGTTATAAACACGCTGCCAGTTTAGCATCCAGATCTGAATGAGATTGATAGATATATTGGGTACCACATCACTAGAGGCGTGGATCATGTGGTCCCTCAGGCCAAGAATCCTAAGAATCAGTGAGGTCTGCTTCTGAGTAAGACTTACCTATGAGCCAAGGTATTGATATCCTGAACACTCCCTTATAACAAAGCCTTTTGTAACAACCGGAGCAGGAAAGGAAGAGTCACACTCAGGCAGCATAGATGCAGATCTCTACAGGATGACATAGTCTCAGCATGTGTGTTTGCATGCTCCAGGTTCTTATGCTGATGGCCTAAGTCATGTGGAATAACTATTCATAAACTCTATACTGCTGTGCAAATGCTGGCTTCATTCCTGGCCGAAAAATAAATGTGTGTGTGTGTGTGTGTGTGTGTGTGTGTGTGTGTGTTATGTATATATATATATATATAATATATAACACACACTTTTAAAAATAATGATGATGATGATAAATTGTAGTATGCATAAAATGTCCAGGGAATAGTTCTATGAGCTTTAAGTGTATTATCTCATTTAATACTCCTAAAAGTTCATGAAGGGGAGGTCATTAAAATCCCCATTTTACAGTCAAGTCAAGGAAACTGAGGCAGAGAGATTAAATAGTTTGTCCTACATTATCTAAGTAGTATCGGAGCTAGGATTCATCTTCAAGATGTCTGGCTCCAAAGCCCCAAAGCTAACTTCCAACTACTTTCTCCAAGCTCAGCCTCATCTTCAGAGGCAGATCCGCTTTGAACATGTGCTCCACACAATGCACACCTAATGCACACACCACACTTAGAAACACAAACACACACACACACACACACACACGTAAACAACTCCCAGCAGCAAAGTGGTGGGACACACGTGAAAAAGCTGAGAGGCTTCGGTGTTTCTTTGTTCAAACCTGGATGCCTGCAGCTCATAAATTGACATTGCTAGAGGAAGAAGGAGGACGTTTGGGAGACCACGCTTCAAGAGGGAGAACAGAGAGACAGGCACCTCTAAGAGAACACGGTGCCAGGTGGTGGTAGGAATTCACTCCCACCCCATTTCTAAGTCATATTCCACACTAGGAACAGGTGGAAGAAATGCAGAGCCCTGTGAAGAAAAGCAGATGAGAAGCTGCCAGTCACCCCCTGTCACAGGACCCATGTGGGTGTCAGGAGGCAGATCATCTCATGCCCAGGCCCTGTCTCACAGCAGGAAGCAGAGCCCAAGGACAGGATAAAAGGGCTCGTGGCCAGAGCAGCCCATCCACTCACCTCCTGAGGTGCTGAAGGACCCTGTGCTGCCTGTGACCTCGGTAAGTGTCCCCTGGGAAGAGAAGCAGGGGCTTCCACAGAGGAATGCCCAGACCAGGGCAGGAGAGAAGGCTAGTCAGGGCTTTGCTGGGGAGGGGTAACTGGATTAGAAAAGGTAGAGAGTGTTTAGAAATTCTGATGGAGTCCAAGCCGTGGGGCAGAAGAAATTGGAAGAACCTGGATGATTTGCATGTCTGTGCTTCATGCTCTAATCCAAATTAGTTCCGTATTTTTTTTAGTGTCTCCCATTGCGGATAAGTTATAACAAACTTTCCTTTCAGAGAGTAGATTTTAGCAACTCAACTGCATTCCTTCCCCAAAGCCTGGACTGGGGTTATAGTTGTTCTCAAATAATGGAGACCAGAGACCAGAGGAAGCGTATTTGGAGCTTCATAAATAGAGATACATGGCCATTACACCTTCATCAGGAGTCAGTTGGTCGGGAATGGTGTCTGGGCATCTGTATCAGAAGCCCCAATGTTGGGGCCAGGCGCGGTGGCTCACGCCTGTAATCCCAGCACTTTGGGAGGCCCAGGCGGGTGGATCACGAGGTCAAGAGATCAAGACCATCCTGGTCCACATGGTGAAACCCCGTCTCTACTAAAAACACAAAAAATTAGCTGGGCATGGTAGCGGGTGCCTGTAATCCCAGCTACTCAGGAGGCTGAGGCAGGAGAATTGCCTGAACCCAGGAGGCGGAGGTTGCGGTGAGCCGAGATCGCGCCATTGCACTACAGCCTGGCTAAAAAAAAAAGAAGCCCCAATGTTGAACATTGAGTGACAAGTTGAAATTTATGGTTGCCAGTGTGGCAGATGGAGGAATCTGTGTGTTCTAAGAGGGATCTTCACTAGGCCTGGGTTCACCAGACCAGAAAAGCTAGGATCACGTGCAGCTTGCTGCAATTGGCTTTAGACCTCATTTCTCCATTTATATTATGGCTTGGGATAACAACTCATATTATGACTCTTTGCAATTCTGACTATAATATATTGTGTTTTCGTGTCAACTAAATACAGCCATTTGAGAAGCTCCTCCAAAAGGGAATCTTTATTTTTATTTTATTATTTTATTTTATTTATTTTTAGACAAAGTGTCTCTGTGTTGCCCAGGCTGCAGTGCAGTGGCATGATCTTGGCTCACTGAAGCATTGGCCTCCTGGGCTCAGACGATCCTCCAGCCTCAGCCTCCTAAGTAGTTGGGACTACAGGTGCATGCCACCATACCCAGCTAATTTTTATTTTTATAGAGATAGTGTCTTCTTGTCTATTTTTTAAAAAGCAGAGCCGCAGCTTTAAACTGGCTTCTAGATTGGACATTTCCAGAATTCTGAGTGGTGCAGAGGTGTAGATGTCAGTCAGATTCTGTGAATGTCAAATTGCCTTTTCCACTTAAAGGACATTAATTTTGGGCAAGTTTGTTAATCTAGTCTTCCTCATTGTCCTGCTTGGTTAAAATAAGATAATCTATGTCTATTTTATAAAAATATCCTGATGATCCTATAAGATATTGTGAAAGCGTCTGATAAACAATTTTGGAGATAATTTCTCTCTGACTTATTTGAACAGGTTTTTAAAATGTAACAAAAATGAATGATGGTAAAAAGACGGTAAGAGTGGCCTCTGTGCTTGGCTTTAACTTGCTGTTTGACCCTCCTTCAGCTCCTGAACACCCGCCCCCGAGATGTCCTGCCAGCAGAGCCAACAGCAGTGCCAGCCTCCTCCCAAGTGCACCCCCAAGTGCCCTCCCAAGTGCCCCGCCCCTAAGTGCCCCCCCAAATGCCCCCCTAAGTGCCCTCCAGTGTCTTCCTGCTGCAGCGTCAGCTCTGGGGGCTGCTGTGGCTCCAGCTCTGGGGGCTGTTGCAGTTCCGGGGGAGATGGCTGCTGCCTGAGCCACCACAGGCGCCGCAGGTCCCACCGCCACAGACCCCAGAGCTCTGACTGCTGCAGCCAGCCCTCAGGGGGCTCCAGCTGCTGCGGAGGGGGCTCCAGCTGCTGTGGAGGGGGCAGCAGCCAGCATTCTGGAGGCTGCTGCTGAAGCGGACCCTGAGCCTAGAAGAGGAGACGTGGGTGAAAGGAGTGATCAGATAGATATTTCCTCCTCATCTTTCTCCTCCTGGGCCTGCGTGAGTGGCTGAGATGCCCTGGTGAAGGCTCTGAGCTCTGGCCTGGAGGATCCCTCTGCGCCAGGGATCCAGAAGTTTGATTCTTCTCCCACAGACCTATCTGTGTTGTCTACTATGGGATCCCAAACCGCAGACTCAGATTCACTCTCCAGCTCATTTCCTGCAGCCACAAGTGAAACAATAAAGCAAAAGCTCTTCTTGCCATTTATTCTGGACTGCTCCTTGCCCGCTTGTGTCTCCAATATTCTTTTTACTGCTATCTACTTTCCTGCTGCCTGGAGGCTTTCAAAATCAGAGACTTGCTAGTCGCATGGGTAAAGGTAGGGAAGAGGGCAGAGAAAAACATCTCTGGTTGCTACTCTGACACCTTATGTCAGATGAATCACTATGTGGCTCTGCTGGGCCAACCCTCTTGGTGTCTCAGGAACACAGAGCCTTGTGCTTTGGACTTTCTCCAGGGCCCCACTCGGTCCCCAGGGTGTGGCAGGGAGACAGATGTGCACCCCATTCTTTCATCCATCTCCCCCCTCCCCTTTCAATACTGCCTACTCACTCCCAAATTTCATTCTCTTTCAGTAAAAAAAAAAAATTAGAAAATTATACATAAACTTTCTGCAAATAGACCATGACTCTTAGACCATTCTAACTACAAGTATGCATGTAACATGTAGTAAATATGATTTTAGAAAACGTAAAAATCCACAGAAAAGGAGTCGGGAGTTTAAAATCGGTGTTCTATGTTCCTCTCCCAGAGTCCCGAGTTCAAGCTCTCCAGTCAAACATTTCATTTCTATATTTTGTAAAGAAGTCCTGATTTTTCATCAACATTTTTTCAATGACAAATTTTACATCAGATTAAATAATTGTTAACTTTATTTTGTGTGCATAATGCCTCAATAATTTTATTATTAACTGGGTAAGTGGGCAATACCCTACATTTACTTTTTAAACCATGAAAAAAACCCCAGTGTCTGGCAGATCAGACAGCAAGAACATTTAGGAATAATCTGATGTGTACCTCACCAATGCCTTGTTTAATACTACCTCTAGGTGTCCCTGTGTCTTTGGTCAGTCACCCAAGATTCAAAGTCCCGTGAGGGAACATCTAATACACTGATTCTCAACCATGTGCCTGCCTCTTAACTATCTGGGGAGACTAGAGGAAGATATGTTCCCTTTGGCTTCAGTAACAAGAAGAACCCCTCCAAAGAATTCAACTAGCATATTAACAAGTATGGAGCTGATTGTTGGCCAAAGTGACAGACTATACCATTCCCCAGAAGGGAAAGAATGTTGCAGATGGGACCAGGCATACTCTAAGATACAAGTTTCTTTCTCCCTGCTAAGGACAGGTGCTATGTAGCCATCTCAGACCAGAGTTCCATGAAAGCTAAGACTGTGTTTTTTCATAAGGTCATAAAGATTTTCTTGTATATTTTCTTCTATGAGGTTTATTGTTTTAGCCCCTCAGTTAGGTTCTCGATCCATTTTGAGTTAAAATTTTTTAATGTTAAAAGGATCAATTTTATTATTTTGTTTGTGGTTTTCCAGTTGCCCTAGGATTATTTGTTGAAAGACTACCGTTTCCTCACTGAGACAGTAAAATTTTTGGCACCCTTGTCAAAAAATCAATAGCCATCGATTTATGGTTTATTTTTGATACTCAATTCTCTTCCATTGTTTTTTGTGTGTGGCTTTAGTTGACAATTTTGTTTTAATCCTTGTTTTTTGTTTTTCTTCTCAGTGTTTTGAAAATGCCTTTCCAATGCCTCTGGCTTCCACTGATTTTGATTAAACATAAGCTATAAATATTACTGGACAGGCAATTTGAATAAAAAACTAAAACTAAAACTAAAACCCATCGGTATGCTGCATCCAGACCCATCTCACATTCAAGGATACACAAAGACTCAAAACAAGGGAAGGAGAAAGATTTACCAACTAAACAGAGAGCTAAAATAAATAAATAGGCCGGGCGCGGTGGCTCAAGCCTGTAATCCCAGCACTTTGGGAGGCCGAGGCGGGTAAATCACGAGGTCAAGAGATCGAGACCATCCTGGTCAACATGGTGAAACCCCGTCTCTATTAAAAATACAAAAAAGTAGCTGGGCATGGTGGCACATGCCTGTAATCCGAGCTACTCAGGAGGCTGAGACAGGAGAATTGCCTGAACCCAGGAGGCGGAGGTTGCGGTGAGCCGAGATCGCGCCATTGCACTCCAGCCTGGGTAACAAGAGCGAAACTCCGTCTCAAAAAAATAAATAAATAAATAAAAAATAAATAAAAAGCAGAAGTTACAATTTTTGCCTCTGATAAAATAGTCGTTAAAGCAACAAAGATCAAAAGAAGCAAAGAAGGACATTATATAATGATAAAAGGATCAATGCAACAACAAGAAGAGCTAAAGATCCTAAATATATACACCCAATTCAGGAATACCCAGACATACAAGACTAATAAAGAGACTTGGACTCCCACACAATGATAGTGGGAGACTTCAACATCAATATTAGACAGATCAATGAGACAGAAAATTAACAACGATATCCAGGACTTGAACTCAGATCTGGAACAAGTAAACGTAATTAGCATTTATAGAACTCTCCACTTTAAATACACAAAATATACACTCTTATCAGTACCACATCATATCAACTTAGAAGTTTAAACGAAATGTTGGTTGACTCCTTGTTTGTTATTCTCTTCCCTCATTTTCTTTCATGTCTCCATTATTTAGGACAATTATAGGCATACCCATATTTAGATTGCATTCTAGCCCGGGCAATAAAGCAATACCCTCATCCTCTCTCCCTCTTCCTCTTTCTTCCTCTTCTTTATTCTTTTTCTTATAAAAAAAATAAAAAATAAAAATAAAAAAATAAATTTCTAGCCTCCAAACCTGTGAGAAAATATATTTCCATAGTTTAACCTACATTGTTTATAGTATTTTCTATGGCAGTCTCAGCCGCCTAATACAATTGCTATAAATTTTTATGTACAGGTTTCTGTGTACATAAACATCTTCATTTTCTTTTGGATAAACATCTGGTAGTGAGTTGCTGGGTTGCCTTGTAAATATGTGTTTACCTTTATAAGAAATTGCCAAATAGTTTTCCAGGGTGATTATACAAAAAAAAAAAACTAACAACAGATCATGGGCTAAAACAAAACAAAACACACAAAATTTCATAATGTTTTAAGAAGGTTTACAAATTTGTGATGGGTCACATTCAAAGCTGTCCTGGGTTCCATGCAGCCCACAGGCTATGAGTTGAACAGGCCAGTCCTCATGATGTTATAGTCTTGAGTACAAGTTGGGATAATTTGTGGTTTACATACCATCCGACCTGACGAAGAAAAGGTAGGATGAGATCTCTCGGCCCTTCCTCCTAAGAAAACATGAGCAGGGCTGGGTTCTAAAATAAGAAGTACCTATAGAAAACACTACATAGATTTTCTGAACACTCCCCTCAAACTAAACTCCTTGGGACAGTCTAGGTAAAAATATAATAATGTTCAGGAAATAGAGTTGAGGCATCCACAGTGTGATGTGGACAATCCCAACCTCACCGTGTCTGATTTCGTCATGGGCTGAGTCCATATTTCATCAGAATTAACTGACTCAGGAACATTTGAAAAGCATTCTGTAAACTGTGAAGTTATTTGCAAATGTTTGTGGTGGGGATTTTTTAAAACTTAATAATTAACAAACCTAATAACTAGTAACTGTAATGAACCATGTGTACGCTGAAATGGGACATGAAATATACAGGTCATAGCCCCATGTTCAAGGTATTAACAATATCACATGCAAGTATAATTGTTTATAATAAATTATATGAATAACAAGCAATAAATGCTCTGAAAGAATTTATCTGCCAGGCGTCGTCCAGAAATTCATTACAGAGAACATGGGATTTGGACTGGCCCTCTGAAGTATTCTCAGAAGAGGAACCAGGAAATACAAGAAAGACAGAAGAAAAGAAAAGAAAAAAGAAAGAAAAAAGAAGAGAGGAGAGGAAGGGAGGGATGGAGGGAGGGAAGGGGAAGAAAGAAAAAAAAGAAGGAAAGAAAGAAAAAAGAGAAAGAAAGAAAGCAGAAAGAGAAAGAAAGGAAAATAAAAAGAAAAAGAAAGAAAGGCAGGTGGGTTGAGGAAATAAAAGGAGGAAAGAAAAAGAGGCAGAGAGGGAAAGGGAGGAAGAAAGAGAGATGGACACAGACAGACATCAGCAAAGGTAAAAGCCAGTTCACCATGTAGTAAATCTATCTATTCAGCAGAGGAGGAGATACAGTGAAAGGAAGTTCCAGAAGTTAAGCATAAAGTGATGGGCTAGGGTCAAGTCAGTATCCACAGGGACTTGAATGCCGGCTAAAGGAATTTAAATTTATCCTGAAGACATCAGAGCATTCTGGAAGAACACTTAACAGTCAGGGAAATTATTCATAAAAGCCTAAAGCAAAATAAAAGAGATTTAAAAAATATATTTGAGGAGTTACTTCAGGAATAGCCAAATGATTTGGGGTACCAGAGAGAAATTGACCGAAGGGAAACCCAGACACTTGGGAGGCCAAGCAACTTCATTTGAGGCTGGGGATCTGGAGGTATCTGCTGCTCAGAGAAAGAGTCTCACGAATAGAGACCAGAAATGAGATGGGATTATTCTCAGAGATGGGCTCCTGTCTTCAGCCCAGGATGGGACTTTGATAACGGCGGGAGACACATCACATGAGACACTATCATTGTAATTTGGTACATTTAAGAGGACTAGTTCTATTCTCAGCCTACAACTGCAATTCGCCTATTTGCCCATCTTTCACTTATAGTCTCGTGTCACCTGTTAATTTGTCTGTATTCCCTCTAGAGCGAAAGCTTTGAAACATGATATGGAGTTCTTATTTTTTCTGGTATCCAGTATACGGTGGGGACTTAAAAAATATCAAATCACAGAATTATACTCACAGACACAATCTGAACCAGGAAGAGAGATGGAGTGGGATTAAAGAAGAACATAACATTTCTGTGGTCCTGATTTTATATATATATATATATATATATATTCAATTGTGTTTTAGGTTTTGGGATACATGTGAAGAACATGCAGGATTGTTGCATAGGTACATACATAGCAATGTGGTTTGCTGCCTTCCTCCCCGTCACCTGTATCTGGCATTTCTCCCCATGTTATCCCTCCCCACCTCCCCACCCACCACTGTCCCTCCCCTAGTTCCCTGCCACAGAACCCAATGTGTGATGCTCCCCTCCCTGTGTCCATGTGTTATTGTTCAACACCTGCCTATGAGTGAGAACATGCAGTGTTTGATTTTCTGTTCTTGTGTCAGTTTGCTGAGAATGATGGTTTCCAGGTTCATCCATGTCCCTACAGAGGACACCTGGCTGGACTTGTAAGTCTATCTGGAAGACAGTGCAGCTCACAGGCCTCAAACAGGCTCACCTTATGAGCTGGGCAAATCTAGATGCTAAACATACTCCATCCTATATGTGATGAAATTCACTGTACTGAAAACAAGTAGGCTTAGACATTTCTGTGGACAATTTATTACGGGAGGTGATCTGGGAGAGACGCAGGGGAGGCAGGAAGTACAGTTTGCTTAGAGCAGAGGGCCTAGAAGGAACCCTCAGCCCTAGATAGAGACAGTAAGGATTGAGTACTTGCTCGTTAACCTCAAAGAAATGCATTTGTGATGTGTGAGGTGTCTGAAGCATGTTTTTACGCGGTGCAGGTCTTGGGTGGGAAAGAGGAGAAACTGGTGCATTGAGACAGAGATACTTTGCCTTCCCACTAATGCTCAGTGCAAGGGAAGCATTTTTGAAAAGCAATCAGAGGGCTGGGCGCGGTGGCTCACGCCTGTAATCCCACCACTTTGGGAGGCCGAGGCGGGTGGATCACGAAGTCAAGAGATCGAGACCATCCTGGTCAACATGGTGAAACCCCGTCTCTACTAAAAACACAAAAAAATTAGCTGGGCTTGGTGGTGTGTGCCTGTAATCCCAGCTACTCAGGAGGCTGAGGCAGGAGAATTGCCTGAACCCAGGAGGCGGAGGTTGCGGTGAGCCGAGATCGCGCCATTGCACTCCAGCCTGGGTAACAAGAGCGAAACTCTGTCTCCAAAAAAAAAAAAAAAAAAAAAGGAAAAAAAAGAAAAGCAATCAGAGTTATTTCTGGTGTCTGAGGGAAGAAAAGAGGAGAAAGAGAAGGAGAGAGAAAAAAGGAGGAGGAGAAAGAGAAGGAGAGATAAGAGGGAGTAGGGAGTGAAGGAAGATGGGGGTCTAATCCGTGAGGCCCCTAAATCAGGCACTCTTTCTCCAGGGCTCTGCTCTAACAGGGTGAGTGAGGCTTCGTACCATTCAACCACCTGCTGTTTCACTCACAAAGATCTTTCTTCCCTCCATTCAAACTGCATGTCAGAGCTTTCCCAGATGAATCAGTTAAGACTTGATGATCTTGTCCTGCTGGGTTTTGGGATTTAACAGCTGCTCCTTTTCTGGCTTCATCCTATGCCCTGTGCTACACCCTGGTCTTCATCCCCTCTCCCATACTCCAGCCCTACTCACATTTGCCATGTATGTGATTTGAAGGCCTCCGAGGATTGCCCCTACAGTCAAAATGTTTGTTGTAATTGCTCATCTTTTTATTTACCCAACTGTTTCCTGAATACCTACTATGGGTCAGGCATCAGGTACGCAGAGGCAGGTGAGGCACAGACTTGAGCAGCAGGGAGTTTCATCAGTGCCTTTTAGCTTAGCTGTGCACACCAGGAGCAATTCTGAGATGGAAGTATCCACAGGTGAAGGGCTGTATTTAGATGAGAATGTTCCCATTTTAAGCCCTGCCAAAATATGATGATTTCAATTTTCATGAAAGGTGAAGAAGAACTCTTCACTCTGTGGAAAGCTTTTAAAACCACAATGTCCCTTGATAATTCCAAGAACAGCTCTTTTTTCGGATTTAAGAGGCAGCAGGTGTGTGAAGGTTTTACTTTCCACCCTCTGCTCAGCCTGTTGTGTAAGGTGAGGGCCACCCACAGAGCTCCCTGTACTCGGAAAGGGTGTTGTTCACATGTGCCTTAGGGGAGAATGATGGAAGCAAGAAGTCAAGGTCTGATCTGCAAAACAAAATGAGCTGGGCTTTATTTGCTTCCTATTTTTTGTTCTCCTGAAACACGAAGTCTTTTCTAATGGCGCATAGACGTTTCATTCAACAGATACTAATGAGCATTGTCTTTGTGTCAGGGACAACACAACATCAGGCTCTAGGAATGCAGAAGTGATAAAGGCAAGGTCCCTGTCACCAAATAACAGTTTAATAGATGAGATAGGAGATGTATCTTGGTCACGTGACCCAAAGCAATGCTAAAGACTGAGAGATGTATCTAAAAAGGTGAGAGGATGCAGGACTCAGATGTGGGAGGGGCACTGGGCCAATCTCCACGAAGGTGATGGCACAGAATGGGATGCTGGCAGCCATGGATGATGGGTGGGGGTAGACAAGGAGTTTCTTCCTCAGACCCTGGGGGATGTTGAATCTGATTTTTCCCTCCAGTTCTACATAGAATTCAACAGCAGCTTCAATCCACCCAGCCCCAAAGAATGTCATCCAGACTTGGCCAGTGTATTCTCCTATAGGTAGGCCAATCTCAAGGCTCCAGCCTTCTGCTCCCTCATCCACCTGCAGGCGCCTTTGAATCACATCCCAGCTACATGTAGCTGAGGAATCTAGCACTGGGAATTGTGAAATTTCCAGATCAATCATCCACTCCACGGCTGTCCTCCAATAACATGTGGCCTGGAGGCTTCAACTGGAGGATATAAAAAAGAGCCTCTTACTTCCTGGCAACACAAGGCCTCCAGACTCCTCCAGGGATCACTTGTCCACACGTCTTCGTCTAGGGTAAGGCTACTTCCGGATGAAGAGACACTTGGATGTAGCTCACGTGCTGCTAAGGCAGCCCTGATCTCTCGTCTTATCTCTTCCAAGGGAGCTGAAAAATTAGGTAGGAGATGCTTGGGTAGAAAGAAGGGAAGGGGATTAGGCCCCTGAAAAATAAAGACCCCAAATCATCTATCATGGGCGAAAGCCATAGAAATTAGAAGGCCAGAAAAGTAGAGAAGGGACAGTCAGACTTAGGCGTCTGGGGACAGAATAAGACTAGGTAAAGAAAGAGCAAAGACTTGGCTCTCTTTGACCGGTGGACATTGGCCTGGGGAAAGTAAACTGTCAGCTCAACTAGGTACAATTTGTCTTTTTTTTTTTTTTTTTTTTTTTTTAGAGGAAACATATGTCAGTTACATGGTTGTTAGTAAGTGAGTCCCCTGGGAAGATTTACTCCCCAAATATTTAGTCCTTTCAAGTCGTTTTTCTCCTCCTGAGATGGATGTCAGTGGATTGCAAATGCTGGTCTCTATTTTTGACAGCTCCAGCTCGTGGAGGAGAGAAGCAGAAGGCCAAGCTGCCCGGGTCCCTGACAGAACTATTTTTCTTGCAGATTTGACTTGGTAGCCCAGCAATGTCACAGCAGAAGCAGCAATCCTGGAGGCCTCCCAATGATCCCCAGTGCTCCCTTCCCCAATGCTCAAACCCCTGCCTGGCTCCCTGCCTGACTCCTGGTGGTGCTCCCCGTTCAGAAGGCTGTCATTCCAGTTCCCAAAGGCCTGCGGTTCAGAAGCCTAGGAGGGCTCGTCGAAAGCCGCGCTGCCTCAGTGGGGGCACGACCTACCACTGCAGAGAGGAAGAGTGCATCGGTGACTGAGTCCAGAAGAGCTGACGCACAGGTGCAGTCGCTTCACCCCGGCTTTGGGTGCTAATTCCCCCTTGGAAAGCCAGGCCCTCGACCTCTCATTTGGACTGAGAAACACTTCCTGATCCCCAGTTCTACAGAGGCTAGAACTAGGCTGAGCCACGCTACTACTGCTCTCTTCCACTCGCCCCTACAGCTCAGCAACAATAAAGCTGCTTTACTGGGAGCCCTGACTTCTGTGATTTGTTAAGACCCCTGCTCAGTTGTGCTGAGACCGCCACCTCAACCCAGGTGGGTGTTGCTTCTCCTCCTTCCTCCTAAGACAGCTGATGGGATTTTTAAAAAGCAGTTGCTTTGGGATTTATGTCCCAGTTTCAAACAGCCTCGCAGCTGTCAACCTATGTCTTTGCATAATTCTAGCACCAAAGATGACAATTCAATAAACATGTGTTGAGCACCTACTGTGTACTGGCCTCTGTGTTTACAGATGTAAGTGGGAAATCTGTCCCTGCTCTAGAAAGCTTATAATCCAGTAGGAGATGCAATGGACACTCCAGATAGAAACATGTGGATTAATAAATATTGTAAGGCCGGTTGCCTCGCTGGGAGTTCAGACACGCCCATCTCCCGCCCCACTTGAAAATTAGAATATGTCAATCATCTAGCCCCACCTTGGACATCCCCTCTGCACTAGGATGCCAATCATCTAGCTCTGCCTTGGAAATCCCCTCCGCCCTTGGCACCTAACCCCACCCTTGTAAATCCCCTCTGCACTCAGCACTTAGCCTGCTCACAGGAAGTCCCACTCCCTACCAATAGCAGCTCCCACTGTCCACATCCTGTCTCCCCAAATCCAATCAAACGCCTTCACTCCCTATAAAACCCCCTCTCCTGAGAGCAACCAGTGCGACTTCCCTGGCCCCTCTCCCCAGGACTGCAGAACCTCGCCCGGGAGCGAAAATAAATCGGAATTGGCATCTAATTTTCTTGTGCTGGCCTCAGTTTCCTCGTTTTTAACTCGGCGATTATCTACAAAGAATGAACTTTACAAATATCATTTTAAGCTGATGAACTTATTTTTATCTCTCATTTTGTGTTCAGAAAAAACGAAAACAGGAATTTAAAAAGTACATAAGGTCAAAGACAGCAGAGAGAGGAAACCCATTTGATGGTGTAAATCAAAGGTAAACACCTTCCCAGGCCTTGGAAGGAAAGAGAGTATTCCGCTTGGGAGTGGGGAGAAGAGACTTCCTGGGACAGGAAGCATTTAAGTAAGACCTCTCAAGATAGGAGACCTTGGTGCTTGGAGGTGGAGTGAGGAGGAAAGATCATCCAGGTGGAAGACTCAGCAGCCACCATAAACAAATGCGTAACAAGGGCAGTACTTGCCAATGGTGTGAATTTCAATTTGGCTGGAGTGACAGGTGTAAGATGAGAGATGTCACACAGTTCACAACCCCAAGTCTCCATGATAATTCAAACCAGCTTTAGGTATTTAACATCAGCTACCAAAAGATTGTACCTCTGGGAAAAGTCTGGGTCTGGTAGTTTGAGATGAGGGGAGCATGATGTAAAATACACAGGCCTGAACGGGGACTTGAAGCTCAACTATGATGCATCTAAATAGAAGCTCATATAAATATTTTTGCTGATCTACATTTTTGGTGGGACATTGAAAGTATTTAATTTTTTAACAAAGTACCCAACCCAATAGATTATATTGACCAGACTCAGAATAGAATTTCAATCTGTAATATCCAGTATGTAGAATTCTCATTTCCAGAGCTTAGTAATTCTCCTCATTGCTGGGACATGATGTTACCCTTGTGAATAAACACATATATATGCAGATATGCATCATAATTATATATAATTATAATTTCACATGCATGCTTTTTCTCATTAAACAAATGACACACACTTGTATAAAGATTTGTTAATGGAGATAAGCTTACAGATGACTAAGACCAACCTAAAATCCTATCACCTAAAAATAATCATGGCTAATCATTTCATAGATGTATTTGTAAACCTTTAAACATCACAAAATGGGTTCATTTTAGAGAATTTTATAACCTGCTTTTTTTTTTTTTACTATTAAGTAAATGGTAAAATTGAACAAGAGTGATTGTCAATACTCTTCCACGCTGGTAAATATTGATCGACACAACTTACAAATGACAGCCACTAACACATTGTGGTCTGCATAACCAGTTCTCGAATAGTAGGCTTTTATGTTGTTTTTGAACTTGCTGTCCATTGTAATTTAAAATAATCATTCCCATTTATAATTATTCTTAATTTTCTTAGAAGAAGTTTTCAGAATTGTAATTCTAGAGTCAGCAAAACTATGAAGACGTTTTCAGACTCTTCAGCAAGACTGCATTTTGGGAGCGATTAAAATTACACTACTTAAGAAATTAAATATGGTGGCAGGGATTTCTTTTATTTGAGAGCAAAAGTGAGTACTACGTTAAAGGACTGCCCAGTTTATAGTGCAAAAAGTCCACTTTGTGAGAAGAAACACTTCCGGAGAAACTTGATAGATATCCACCTACTCACCGTCATAAAATCTATAGTTTAAAAAAAGTTTAGATGCCTCCTTCTTTATAGGGTAAAAGAATGTTCAATATATTTGTGTGAGAGATTTTTGAAAAGATTCCCATTTTTCCCTAGGAAAAACACAAAATCTCAATGTTGAGTTGATTATGTAAAGCTCAAAGTTTAAGAACATCTTTTTTTCTGCATTGCATTTCTAACCAAATGACAATTTTTTAAAAAGTTTTACAGAAATCATTTTTCTTTGACAAGAATATTACTTACTATTTTGGCCTATTCGGCTTTCTCTAGTAAGTACTTGGATTCCCTGTGCTAAGTGTTCAATCAATGTATTATTCTATAGATACACTTATTAGTCTGTGTTAAACTGATTTCAAAATTACTACCCTGAAAAATAAACTAATGATTTAATTATTATTTTCTTTATAAAGTCTACATTTCACTATTCACAATTCCTAAAATATGCCTGTACATCAGAAATGCCAATATTAATAGTGCCTTTTAGAAGGAGTCTGGCTCTGTTGCCCAGAGTGGATTTCAATGGCACGATCTCAGTTCACTGCAACCTCCACCTCCCGGGTTCAAGCAATTCTCCTGCCTCAGCTTCCCAAGTAGCTGGGATTACAGGTGCCTGCCACCACACCTGGCTAATTTTTTGCATTTTTAGTAGAGATGGGGTTTCGCTATGTTGGCCAGGCTGATCTGCAACTCCTGACCTCGAATGATCCACCCACCTCGGTCTCCCAAAGTGCTGAGATCACAGATGTGAGCCACTGTGCCCAGCCAAGAGTACCTTTTTAATATGGCTTTCATATGGCTTCATTTTAATACTGTATGTATATCGTACTTTGTTTTATAGTACTAAGTAATGAAAAATGCAGACTTTATATTTTATACAAAATGTTCTATAAATCTACATATATGTAAATTTTATGTATAAGAGCTCTACATAAATATATACGTATTTTTAAGTGTTCTCACCACAAAAAAAATGGTATGTGAGATAATGCATGCTAATTAGCTTGATTTACTCATTGCACAATGTACACGTTATTTCAAAACAGTATGTCGTACATGCTAAATATATACAGCACAAGTTTTTTCCACTAAATAAATACATGTATTTTTAAAATTTCCTATATACAAAAATTTTTAAGTTTATAGCAACAACGAAACTAGGTAAGTGGTATAATTCATTTCATTTAGAATATATCTAACTTGATGCTTTTAAAAAATGTTTAAAATCTTACATATTTTTTACATCTTTTAATTCAGAAAACTTTATTTTGACAGAAAAAGTTTATATATTTGATATTCAATATGTTATTTTAAATGCTATATTGTTTAGACTAAATAAAGAACAGATAAGTTAAAAAGAAAAAAAGGCACTAGATGTTTAGAAGCAGTCCCCAGGGACTTTGAAACACCCTCAGGTATCCGTTCCTGACACTGCCCTTTGAGGTGAAGGATGGTGATAAGAGAGATTCACCTTCCCTACCTTTCTCTTAAGATGTTTAATTGCAGGATGAAAGATACAGTCCAGCTGGGTTACCTCCTTTAGGCACGATGGAGAAAATGATGGAGAGGTCAATGGCATGGGGTTGTGATGAGCCAGAGATGGTAACAGAACAGCTGTCCCCAAGAGTAGGAGGGCAGTGAAGTCACAGATCTGTTCTGCTCATCTTAGTTGGGGGAACCCATCTTTCTTTAACATCTGCAAAAAGACATGAAGTTTCACGGGAGTCAGAAAATTCTGTCATTGTAGGCAGTGGAGTCTCCTTTCTTGGGAGATTTCGAAATACATTCTTGGGATCTTGGAAATACAGTCTTATTTAGAAATATATTCTTGGGTGGGAAGCAAATGACAGGCAAGATGATCATTCTTCATCCCTTCCTATTTTAGGATTAACAGGCGTCACTTGATGGTGACATGTGTAAATACAGGCTCCTGATAAGATGTTTTAGCTATGGCTTCATTCGCTGAAGTTAACCAAAAAGCCAGGGTGGGGCCCAGGATCCAAAGAGGCCACTGTTCCATGTGTTACAGAGAAGGATTGGCGAAGCTATCAGAGACGATAAATCAGGGAGTCACCCAGGCTCTAATAGGGTCTAGAGCAACCACAAGCACAGAGATCTCATAATTACCTCCGTGATCAAGATGAAAACAGCAACACTCATTTTACAAATGAACAGCCTGAGGCCCAGAAGAGGAAAACGGTCCATGGCTGGTCGGAGTCAGGACTAGGCCTATGCTCCAGGGATGACCTGCTGCTTCTACCCAAGGGAAGAATGTCTGCAACTAAAGACGTTAAAGAAAAGCGGGGCCAGAGTGCTGGTACCAGATGATATTGACGTGCCTCCCCCAATCCCACAGGAATGTGCTCAGCATCTGGAAAATAACTGAGACTGTAACAATAATGCTTATAGTTGTAATCGCAGCTCACAGAATAGTTGTTGATTGTTGGGCACTGCGTTGGTTTCTTTGTGCACAGTTAATTCTTTTAACCACCATATTACACATGATGGGCCTACCTCTCTAGTTCACACTATACAGATAGAGTGGAATGACTGTTTTGAGGCCAACCAATAGAGGTGGTGAGAATATGTTATACTGAATAGTTATCGTCCCTTTCTTCTACCCACTAACTGAGATGGGCACAGGACCATAAGGCAGGTTATTGATCATGGGTCATGACCATTCTCTGTGCTCCAAGAGAAACCCAGAAAGCATTGATCCCTCAGTGGTCCTGATATGAATCCCGTCATCCTTTCGAGGACCATAAATCCTCTCCCAGTGCTGTCTGCCAATCAGACCCACATATGCTCCCTGCCCACTGAGATTCTGGCCCATAGGACGGCTGTTCAAAGGGTTGACTGCTCAGGTGGAAGG